CTGTAAGACTTTTTATTGGTGCAATCAATTTTATGAGATGTGCATTTGTGAAAAAAGTTTAAAAACTGATGCTCAAATCTTACTTTTCAGTTCCCTAATTTTTTCCTTTAAAGGATTTTTAATCTGGGGTACTCAGTTGATAGGCTTGGGAGTCAGTGAATCTAAAAAATCACGCCTGTAATCCTAGCACCCTGGGAGGCTGAGGAGGGTGGACTGTTTGAGCTCAGGAGTTCGAGACCAGCCTCAGCAAGAGCGAGACCCCGTCTCTACCAAAAATATAAAAAAAGTTAATTGGACAGCTAAAAATATACAGAAAAAATCCTTTTATTGGAGAACTTGTATTTTGCATTTATTTATGTCTTCAGAGTTGTACAAACTGTTGAGCCACGCCTCATTTGAGCCTGGTATAGTAGCATTCTTGTGGAAAAAAGTATATCATATAAACCTTTTTATATCATATAAACATTTTTATGACTGTGAAGACCTCTTAATTCTTGAGGAAGGAGGGCCCTTTTTCAAATTCAGGCATCCCTGAGAATTTACTGACCTCATTTCATTCTCTGAAGAATGAAGGAATTTCCCAACACTGATATAAGTTTGGCAAATCATAGGCCAAAAAACTTCTATTACCTGTGAACACAGAAAAAGTAACTAGCAAAGTATGTTTGGATAATGAACTATAAGTTTTTCCTTTTTTTTTTAAAGAGGTTGGAAAAAAAAGAAATATGCCCCAATTTGAAACTTCGGTTACTAATAAATAAGGTCGAAACCTAAGGCAAGCTTCCGTTGCACACAATGCTACGCTTTGGTGTAAGTTCCTAGTTTTCATTAAAGACAACGATTTTCCAGGGCTTATTTTTGAGAGTGACAGAAGGGCAGTGATTGTGATTTGAAACTGAATGGGTGGGCCAGGCTGTTGGTGGTTGAGGCCTTGTAATCCTAGCACATCTGGGAAGCGCCTGAAGGTGGGAGGATTACTCGAGTTTAGGAGTTTGAGACCAGCCTTGAGGAAGAGTGAGACCCCATCTCTACCAAATTAGCCGGGTATGGTGCACATGCCTGTAGTCCCAGCTACTCGGAGGTGACGCATGAATGGATTTGCTTGAGCCCCGGAGTTTGAGGTTGCTGTGAGCTAGGCTTGATGCCCATGACCACTCTACCCAGGCAACAGAGTAAAGACACTAGTCTCAAAAACAAAAACCAGGCGGGCGCGGTGGCTCACGCCGTGTAATCCTAGCACCTCTGGGAGGCCGAGGCGGGAGGATTGCTCAAGGTCAGGAGTCGAAACCAGCCTGAGCAAGAGCGAGACCCAGTTCACTATAAATAAGAAAGAAAATTAATTGGCCAACTAATAGTATACAAATAAAAAAAATTAGCCGGGCATGGTGGCGCGTGCCTGTAGTCCCAGCTACTTGGGAGGCTGAGGCAGGAGGATCGTTCAGCCCAGGAGATTGAGTTGCTGTGACAGTGCTGACGCCATGGCACTCACTCTAGCCTGGGCACCAAGAGTGAGACCTCTGTCTCAAAACAAACAACACAACAAAAGAATAACCTGAATGGGTGGAAGGTTGTGTTTTGAAAGCATATAGTTCTGAAAATTTTTAGCAGATTACATATTCTCTTTTTGAAGCTGATGAAGTTAGCGGAAAGTTCATCCCAGGAAAAAATGCATTAATATGTATGCAAATACAATTTTACATACAATTTTTTTCCTTTTTTTTTTTTTTTTGACACAGATCTCACTTCTGTTGCCCGGGCTAGAGTGCCATAGGTGTTAGCTTAGCCACGGTAGCAACGTGAACTTCCTGGGCTCAAACACGATCCTTCTGCCTCAGCCTCCAAGTAGCTGGGGCTACAGTCATGCGCCACCATGCCTGGCAATTTTTTCTAGTATATATTAGTTGGCCAATTAATTTCTTCTAGTCTTATAGTAGAGACGGGGTCTCCTACTTGCTTCAGCGCTGCTTCGAACTCCTGACCGTTGAGCAATCCCCTGCCTTGCCTCTCTAGACTGCTAGGATTACAGGCGTGTAGCCAGCTGTGCCTGGCCTCTTTTTTTTTGAGACCAGAGTCTCACTGTTGGTTTGGCCTCAGGTTAGGAGTGCGTGGCATACAGCCTAGGCTCACAGCAACCTCAAACTCTGAGGCTCAGAGTGCCTGCCTTGC